GGGATTCGAACATGGGATCTTCCCATAACGTTTGGTGAGGGTGACAACTAGACCACTTCACTAAGTCGCCACACCTAATATCAGATTTTTTCTTTAATATTAATAAATAAATTTAAATATATCGTTTGATTGTAGATGTAAAGTTGATTCAAAAGCCTATAAAGATTGTTGTTATAAAAAACGAATTATTAAATCAAATAATAAAATAAAAGATGATGAATTTTATAACTATTTTTTAATTAAAATGTTAAATATTTCACAAAATAATCCACCAAATGTTGATAAATTTCAAAAAATACATGATCAAATTTTATCAACTTTTGAATTAGAGTTATTGAGAGATGGTGGTGAATTAGATTTAAAAATTCGAATTTAACAGATATACAAAAACAACAATTACAAGAGTTACGAGCTAAACAAATGTAATGTGTGATAAGATTCAATGAAATAAAAGATGAAATTGAAAATGAAACATTAGAAAATATAGAAAGATTACATGAATTCCAATTCTGGTATCGAAAAATACTTGAGGAGTTATTATTTACACAACAACAAAATCGATTGAACGAATTAAGATTAGCTAGATTGGAATTTTGGACAGAGTATTTGGCAGAATATAATTTATTTGTAGAACAAATTCAAAATAAAACAGATTTATGTAGATTATGAGGGTTTTGGATAACCAAAATTGATAATTCTCAATTCACAAACGAAGAAAAATTAAATCTTCATAAAATATGTGAAGAACATATTAGAATTTTATTAGAACAATTGCAACAATCTGATTATCAGAGAATACAAAATAGTATACTTAAAGAAACTAATATTACAAACTTGGAAGTTGATAGATATTGGTTTAGAAAGATAAATAGAAGTAGTTTAAGTGAAAATCAACAAAAAGAATTAAATGATTTACGTGCTAAAACCTTAATTACTCTATCGAATAAACAATATGATGAGATTAGAAAAGAAATTTTAGAAACAAATAATTCGTTTTTATTAGAGGATAGAGAAGATATTGATAGACGAATTCGATTGCTAAAAGATGATAATCTAACTGATGAAAAACAAACAATAAAATTACAAGAAATGTGTCGTGGACGTTTACAGGATCTATTACAAGTAAAGGAAATATCAAATTATGATCGACTTGAACATTTGTTGTATACATATGTTAGAAGACAAAGAGTTGAGTTATTATCAAATGAAAGTATTCTTACAGAATCTATTAATGATCTTAATCAACATTGTTAGAAAATGATAGAGATCGATTATTGTTAATACAAATGAAAAAAACTCGATACAATAATCTTTTATATGATATAACAGAAAGACAAATATGAGCAGAAACAAACAGAGAAACTTTAGCAAATGAAGAACGTTATAATCTTATAATTCAATCATTAGTAGAATCTGTTCTTGAACCTCCAAGAACAATTCAAATATTACAAAATTTAAGACAAGAACTTTATAATAAAATAACACAATCATCATATAGAATTAAAAAAATTAAAAATCTAAAAGAAGCATTTGATTGGTTGATAGATTTGCTAGAGAAAAAAGAAAAAATATATAATCTTTTTAATGAAATAATAATAAATTATATCATGGAATATCCAAATGGAAAATATACAAATAAATTACAGGAAGAAAAATATTTTAACAATGAGATTGATAAAATAGATAAAAAAACATGTTTGTATGAAAAATAATTTCTTCGAAATTTAAAAGAACGAATATATGAAATGTACAATGATGAAGAAAAAGATTATTATTTTATTGATTTAGAAGGCGATGTTGATATGTTTAATGAAAATATTACAGATTTTATAGATAAAACTATAAAAAAAAATGTAATATATAAATTGATAAAAGAAATTTACCAGGAAAGTGGAGTAGCGTGGGTGAGAAAAATTAGTAAAAAAGTAAAAGATACTCATGATGAAGTATCTTTTTTCAAAGAAATAAGACCTACTATTACAAACTCAAGATTTAGAAAACATTTTGATAAAATACTTAAAGAATATTTCTTAAAAAAATCAAAAGAAAATGAAGAAAATAATAAAGAAAAAGGAAAAAAACATAATCTTGAAGATAAAGATACTCCAGATCCAAAAAGAAGAAATAAAAGAATAATGAAACCAGAAAAAGAATATATTGGTCATCTCATTAAGCATGATACACCAACTTGATACATTTGAATTAAAATTTAATTACACAAAATTTTA